TAGGTTTGTTTATGGCTCAGCAGAGCATGTCATGAAATTATATAGCATGGGGAGAATTTTCTTTAGCTTTCTTGGTGAGTCATTCTCCAACAGAAGGACACGTATCCTTTGGTTTGCTTCAGTAAGAAGCAAGTGCTTCAGTAAGAAGAAAGTGCTTTATGCTTTAAGGCATTTGTTATAAAATTGAGGTTCCTGTCTTGTTTACCTTAGCACAGTGTCTTTTTCCCCTTTTTACAAGAGTTCAAATGACTACAGTGAGAAAGAAGCTGTGCGAATTACTTTGGGCTTATTTTCATTCTTATCAACTCGATAAATGCACCTTCAGTTCTTTGCCCTCCTACATGCCTTTTGTGTGATCTTAACCTGCCTATGTTTTAGTTCCTTATGTACAAAAGCATGGATAACTAAACATCCTTGGCTCTTGGGACTCTTTTCAGGGTAAATAACTAAAAGTTCCGTCAGTCTCTTGAATGCTACTCACTTATCATAGGGAACCTTCAGGCATACTAGTCTGTGGGTAACAGTCATGCCTAATGTTTAAGATGTCTAGTCCTTTGTCCTTCAGAGATGCCCTGTAGCTATACTTGGAGTGGTACAAGTTCAGCACACCACCTGTACAGTCAACACATTTGGGCAGGAAAGGCAGCCTTGAGGAATCCGTGAGAGTTATGCTAGTGTTAATGTAGTGGATACCACATAAGTACCTGGGGTGCTTATTTGCTTTGTAGCATTCTGGAAATATATCATGAAAAATACTTATTCAGAATCTTCACTAGACATCAACAGTGTTGTTTCTTGACTCTTCAAAATAAGAAACAACAAAACAGCCTCTAATGCTTTCCTTCTTTTTAAAGGAATTCTTCCATATCCAATGTCTTTAGATGAAGAAAGCAGAACAACCTGAAATATGTTTTCATTGGAATGTGGTTTTCTATGTATTAATTTGTTTAGTTAGTAAATAAGAAAGGGCATTCTTCCAACAAAGTAAAGATCAGGTTTCCAGATCTAGTGAAACTGCTGGGCTGATTCTGTGAAGTCATTGAAGCCTGTGAGAGGTTATTCATGTGATCTAGGCATTTTTGTCACTTCTCATTAAGGACAAGAGTATACAAATTAATGAGAACTAAAGTCACTTAGGCCATAAGGGAATGGTTATTCCAATTAGGTTAAGGTTACTCCTCAGGAGCTTGTACGGTGAGAATATTTGATAATGATGAGGTATACTGTATGTGGAATTGTATTCCAAGTGAAGTGGTGGATATCAGTTCCATGATTTGCTTGTAGAAATGTTTTAGAACTGTGTGAAAATCACAGCTCTGGCAGACAGGGCATACAAAACAGTAATGAGTGACCCTCAATATGCATGGAAAAGTATCAGAAGATATGACTGATCTTTTAAAAGTATTTTTAGGCTGTTTCCTGAAGCAAAATCAAGTCTAAGCACATAAAAACAAACATGGAGGAAAGCTGTCTTGAGCATTATATTCTTGAAAAAATTGTTATGTATGACATCTTCTCTCTTTCCTGCTGGTCATGTATAGACAAGAGTTGATTTGATGAAAAGCTATTTAAGAATAGTTGGAATTGGAATTACATGGAAATTTGGAAATGTAGTTCTTGATATGAGTGTTTGAACAGAAGAATCTGAGATGGTAAGTGATGAATATCATGAGCAGCCTGAACAGCAAGGAAAAGGTATGAATATTTAAATTGTTAATTCTGAGATTTTTGTAGTGGAAGAAAAAATATTCCTCTATGTCTCATTGGTGTTAGTGGACTTATGAATTTCCATGGAGATTTTGTCTCCTTTTCACTCATACTGTGGCACTGTAGAAAGCAAGGGAAAAAAGAAATGGAAGCACAGCAATGACTTGGTCGAATGTGTGAAGGACACCTCAGCGTTTGGAAATTTCTCTGTGTCAGCCTTTGGCAAGAACACATATAATACATGAAACAATCCAAAGTATATTGGCTTTATTTTGCAGGATCACATTTCTTTTGCTGTGTAAGTGCTGAGGTGTCCCACAGTCTCTCGTCTCCATGGTACATAAAGGTATGGTGGCTTTTCTTTTGTTCTGGTCCACTGCAAATATTTGCACACTGGGAAATGTTTTAGCTCTGCAGACCAATACATCAGCCATCTGCCTAGAAAAACCCACGCCTTTCTGCTTTAAGACGGATACATAGAGGGAGGATCCTGTTCTGTAGGCTCCCAGATTCTTGTGCCTCACCTCTCTGACGTTAAGTCCACGTTTGTTTGACTACGCTTTGTCTGATTACAACAGATAAGTCCCAGCGGTGAAATAGGTATGAATATGTGAGCAGGTGGCAATAGAGTTTGTTTTCCAGAATATACTGTGGTCGGAGTAAAGGGATAACTTAGAAGTATTTCACACAATACATTTGCTTCCATTATGTATATATGTTACTACTGGGATCCATAGGTGTATTATACAAGGTCTGTAGAGTACGTAATCTACACAGGTAGGCTTTCTCAGCAATAGATGCTTATATAATGACTGAATGATTCTTTGTATAAATAACTGCTGCTCTCACACAGAAGTTTTCTGTCTTTTCCTCTCCTTCTTTAGCTCTAAGCTGAACAGCAGTAGTCAAATAAAGCTGGTTGTTGTAGATCTAGTTAACCAAGAAACAAAAGGAACAATTTTCCAACCAATATGAAGAGGTGGAAGCAAAGCGTGTGAATAAAGATCTGCCCACTATTATTGTGACTGTTGTTGCGTGCCAGCAGAGAAGAAGAGAAGGGAATAGCATCTCATGCCATTCACTTTAGAAGAAAAAAGGAGGAAAGAATAATGTTGGGCCTGCACAGGCTACAAATATTTTATCTTGTCCCTGACCAGAAAGACTTTAATCTGAGGTCTGTGTTTATGTGCCGTCAGGAGAAATATTACCTAGCAAAGAGGAGAGGGTAGAAATATAGTAGCAACTGTCAAATTAAGGATGAATGTTAAGCTAAGCTGTGAACAGAGAAAGTATTGTGCAACATCCACAGTGTTTTCTACCTGAATATCTAGCTCCACCAAAAGGACTGGATCTGAATCTTTAAATATCACAAAGATTTAATCCCATTTCTTGAGGCTACAACTGAGAACAGATTTCAGCTTGATACCTATAAGGATCTGAGAAGTGAAAGAAGAGAAATCCCATTTTTCATTTAAGCCTGTGATAAAGAATTCTCTAAAAGCGGCTCAGTTATGATTTCAACTAAATGGTCCCACTGAATTGTGACTGCTGAGTTACCATATTGTGTGTCTATGTATGCTGTGTCTTCCCTCCCTTTAGTATAGTAATGTAATTTGAGTCTGATGAGTGGCCAGCAATCAGCACAAAAATTATGTCAAAAATGATATATTCATGCTGCAGATATGTGCATTTGTCTGTTCTTCAAATGAGAAACAAGTTAAAATGCTCATCCACTGTACAATCCCAAAGGAGCCCATAGCATATTCATATTCTTTAGCTTTTTTATGTGTGATGTTGCCCTTCCTACACTGGAAAGCTAATGGAGTACGAATGCAGCCTTCCCTTAAATATCCACTTAAAGCCTGGAACCTTCATATTTTGGATCTTAAATAGACGAAGGAGACACTGGCTTATAGTATAAATAGCTCACATTTTATTTCCTACCCAAGTTAAAATAGGAGTTGTTTCAAGTCAGTGTTTTTCATGACCTTGTCCAATAACCTTGAAAGCGAAGAGAGGAAAAATCTGCAAAAGAATAAGAACTTTCTACCCACTTTTTGGTCATATTCTGAATCTACCATACTTCAGTGTTTCAGAAGTTGTTCTGTCCTGTGCTTCTCTCCAAAGTAAATCTTCTCTTGACCCTATTTTGCAAATGCTGCCATAGCTATCCTGTGTCATCTGTGGCAGCTTGCTCACTTCCTTTTCTCCTGAACATCTCTGACATGCTCAAGACAGGGCGTGCCCACAAGTCTGGGAAGTGTTGTCAAATCTGGAATAGATATGAACATAAATGAGTAGAGATAAACACAGAGGGGATGTAATTACTAGTTTAATTTTGTTTCCAACATTTCCCCTTAATTATCAAGAAAATAAACTGCTAAGACAAATATATTTTTTTTCTTTTATTATTTGTTCCACAGGTCATTTATCACCCCTATGTTGGAGTATACATTCAAATTTCACATAGCTATGAAAACAGGCACAATATATATTTCTTTTATGACACATTAATACTCAGTATTGTAAGTTAATATAGTTGTTCTGCAGAGGATTATCCTTCGTATTTCATATATGTGTTTAGGTGACATCAAAGAAAATGGTAGGTAACAGAGATAAGTGACTCTTGTGCCTTGCACAGAACATCACACTGTTGCTCTTTCTCCAGATGGATGACTTACTACTTTGCTCTAGTGAAGGAGCATATCACTGGTGTAGGAAAATATTTCAACTGACTCAAGCTTGTTACTTAAAATAGATGTCTACCCTTCCATATGGTGATCTTGGGAAACTTTGTGTAAAAGAGTTTGTATATGCAGATTCCGTCACTATGCTTCCACTATGATGTTTGTATTGGGAGCTACAGAAGAAGGAAAGACCATTTGAAAGTGCCATTTAAAAGAAAAGAGCTAGGAAAAGCCTACTAATTTTTCCCACACCAGACTTTACAAGCATGACTAGCCTCAGGTGTAGAGTTCTAGAATTATCTCCTTCCATGTCTCTTGCGTCACTGCATTTTTATCATGGCAAAACCTGTAGTTGCTATTTGATGACTATCACCTTACAGAAACCCCATGTTCAACATGAAATATGTTCTGTTTTCAGCCATCAGAATAATAACTAAAGAATGATACAGAAGAAAGCAAACCCTGGATCTGAGTTTTTTTTTCTCTATTAGGTATTCCAACATCTACAGCAAGAGCCTTCCTGTCTGATTTGCCAGCAATATTCCTTTAATGAGAAATAAGCACATAAAGTTGTGTCATACTAAAGATTTACAAGCTACATGAGATAAAAAATCGGAGGTGAGATGTAGCTAATAACTTACATCATTGTACTGTAAATAGACATCAAGTATTGGCTATAGCTTTTGATTGGAAGTTGTAGCTAACAATAAAGCTACAGTTCAATTGATAATATACAGCTCAAAGTTGCATGCACCTTAAACTATCACTTTCAATTATTCAGGTAGCAAACTCCACTTCAAAGTGTTTGATAGATTTCTTCTCTGTTTCCCAAATGGTAATGATAGCCTCCTATATTTCCTCTTCAAATCATACGTACAACTTTCTCATGAAATCTGGTTTACCTGGTTGGTAAGAGTTCAGAGAGATAGCAGAGAAAGAAGCTAAACAAAATGCTTTAAAATGTTGGAATTCTTGGCGCAGCTTCACCTTCTAGAGGCTATGAACATTTCACTGTAGCTTACAATTCTGTCTGAATGAGGCGTAGTGCTTTCTTCATGTTCTCTATTACTGAAAGAAAAGTAAGTAAAAACTATAAAATATACTCAATGCATTTTGATTAGTACATTCTTCACATTGAAATTAATGCAGGATTATATATTTTAGTGCTTCCTATAGTAAATATTCTGGCATTGATACTAAAGTTGAAGGCAAAAAGTGCTGTGAATCAAAACGTTTAACTTAAGGAGTTGAGTATTGTCAAATCCTTTTTGCTTCAGCAATCATGATAATCAGATGTGACATGCATATTTGTTGTGAGATAATGCACGGGTCTCAGATAGATGGTACAGAGTACTAGTTCAACCTGAAAAATCACATTCCTTTTTGAAATATGGGTAACAAGCATTTTTTTATTTTTTTTTTCCCAGTCCCCTCCCACCACTGCCTATTAACATTGTGTAGTTGGATACCTTTGAGCATAGACTTTTACCATTCACCAACAAACAGCTCATGTCTTGGTCCTGAAATTTCTCATCCATGATCTTTCAACTCATATCACCTGAGTAGACCCAATAAATTCACTGGGACAATAGATGTGCTTAAGTGTTTGCTAGAATAGGTTAGAAGACTGTAAATTATTGTTAAGTGCTCACACATTCTTTATTCATTACTTCGAGATCTTAACTGATTCTCAAACACAGACGTTTGGCATGGCGTGTATCTGGCTGCTTACAATATGAAATGCAGAGTAACACAACAAAATAGGCACTTACAGAACGGTATGTCTTGTGGTTCATAAGTGTACAGCCGATTAGAGTATCTTCCTGTGATATCAGCTCTCACTGTGAGAGATGGGTCTGAAAAAGAAACTGTGTTAATCGTTGCTTTCCATAACAGCAGAGGGCGATGCCCATAGCACAGCCCTGTTTTTGAGGTGTTCTGATTTTGCCAGCCACAAACTGTGAGGCTGTTACACTCTGTTCCAACCAACTGCTTTTTATGTGGAGAAATCTTAAACAAAAACGAATACTCAGTTTTATATTGCACAGCAATTTTTAAGAGATTGATTACACATACGTTTTGTCCATACTTGAAGAAAACCATCCTGTTTTACAAGTTCTGGGGTTACTCTGGGAGAGGCAGTTTGACTGGATGCACAAATATGAGGGTCATGCATAATTAATGCAACATTATCATGGCTTACCTAGAGACCAGGACTAAGGTCTTGTGATTCTTATTGTTTCCATTACAGGTGAAAATGGTTGTAAATACTGAACTGGTTCCCCATTCCAAGCTTTTCCAACTAATCCCCTGACTCCTTTTACTACCTTGCTCTGAGCAGGGGCTTCATCTCACCTACCTTTGAGTACAGCCTGTACAGTCAGTGAAAGGGAACAGGAATTGTGGGGCATGATTTACTTGATATATTTCAAAAGTCAACTTTACAATGCAGTAGATCATTGCTTAGATTCTGTTGACTATTGACTTGCTCTATAGTAAGGTCTGCACTGTAGACATCTACATTCAGTCAGATATTTGACAGCTCTCTCTAAACTTTGTTCCTAACTGCACTTGCAAAAGCACAGAGAGCTAATAGGGGCTGACAGATACTAACAGATATTTAAGCACCTTGCTCCCAAATGCATATGAGGTACCCTCCAGAACATATCTATAACGTGATGAAAAGTTTACAGGGGCTGAAGCCTGTAACAGAATGAGAACTGAACTCGGGTATGCCAAATTCCATGCTATTGCCATGGTAAAGACAAATCCTGAGCTATTTTCTTTTTGCAAAATAATTTGTCTTGATATTTCTGGAGAACGACACTGGCATAGATTCAGAGATCACATCTTCAGAAGATTCGTAGTACTGTACATACCTATGAACATGATTCGAGGCACGTATTGTCCGTCAGGTGACAGGTTTTTATCTGTGGTTTCATGCTGGCAGAGAAATTAAAGCAAATTATTAAAATATTCCTATAAATTTAGCTGAAGTAGCATCACTTGTGAACAGTCTTGTACCAGAAGACAAAAGTACAGAAGGTATATATATACACATAAACGCATATATGAGGGCTGCTCTGAAAGTGATGCTTCCTATTTTATTATGTTGGACCATGACATCAAAGATGTATGCTGGTGATGTGGCAGAAGAAGCTAAACCTTCCCGCCAGTGTTCCATTACATTTTGTTGCCATGCAACAGATGGCAGTAGAGACAGAATGGCATCTGTTATGGAAGTGCATGTGAGGCAAAGGTGTGTCATTCCATGCAGAAAAAATTATACTTCTTGACATTCATTAACGCTTGCTGAACTGTTATGGACAGAAACGGTGGATGTGAGCACAGTGAGACATCAGGTGGTGCATTTCAGCAGTGGCAACGAAAGTATGAAAGACAAGCTATGGTCTGGATAGCCATGCAGATTTTATGGGTTTGGCATGCAGGCTCTTGTTTATTGCTGGTGAAAATGCATAGCTAATGGTGGTGACTACGTTGAGAAATAGTTGTTTTTAGCAGAGAATTTAACAGTGTAATCGTACCTTTTGTATTGTTGTAATGTCCATGGAAATAAACGGGAGGCATTACTTTCAGAGCCACCTACATACGTATGTTTAACTGAAATGCCAGATATGCTTAGCTAAAATATCATGAAAAAGTAAGACAAAGAAAACACAGACCAAAAACAGCTACCAGACAGACCTCCCCAAACCCTTCCTACCATGAGATTCAGCATAATGAAGCTATCTTGGGCCATTTCTTGTATCTCTTCATTTTCAGCAAAAGCTTTCTTCAGTGCTAGAAAACACAGGAATATTCTTAAGTCCATCATAGATGTTGCCTTTCCTTCAGTGTTTAGGCACCAAAGACTGGTCCCATCATTCCTGCCTCTGCTCATTCACATTCCTAGGAGACACTTTTGGGATCTATCATGGCTTTATGGTTTTTGATCTGTGTGTCAGTGCAACATTCTAGCTATGAAAATGGAAGCTCTTTTGTGTCATTTATGAAGCCTGTAGTTTTAGCAGACAGTGTCTCAGTTTGACAAAAGTACATTATTCTCAGAAAATTCTTATTAGATCAATTTCAGTGGTCTTGTCCTTATCTCCTTCTCAAGTTACCAGTTCAGGTAACATTGTTAAATATGTTCAATGAGTCAGTAGCAAATATGTGTCACTTAATTTAAATTGGCAGGTGTTTAATCAGGGATAGCAGGACATTAGCTCTAAGCATTTTTCATATTCATTTTTTGAGTAGATTTACAGTGACTTTTTTGTAAATAACAAACTCTTAGTTTTTCAACTACACTTTCATGGACTTACTTAAGTAATTTTGAGTAAATTCAACAAATATATAAATAGTTGTGTCTTCTTAAAAAGATGTTTACAAAAATTTAACACTGAAAAAATCAAAATTACCTTGGCAGTATTGACAGTCTTCCAAATGATGAATGACCATCAGTGGCTTGTTACTTTATTAATAATAATAAAACATGTAGTTAGTTTATTTGAAAAGAATGAAAATAAGTGATTTTGCTAGTAGATTGGAAAAGACAAATTGCATTTCATTTTCTGTTAAATCTCAGTGAAACCTAACAGGCATTCTGTGAGGGATGACAGACATTTCTGTGCAAGAGAAAAGGGATGCTAGAGAAAGAAATAGAGAAGTGGAGTTCCCTTGTCTAGATAGCTTTTCTAAAGTAAAAGAGTGGTAGAGTGGTCTGCAGATCAGTTGTAACAGTGTTTTTTTTTAATTTCACTACAGTATATTGAGGGGTGACAATATAATTAATAGAACTGTCTTTCAAAACTATTTTTTAATCTCTTACCTTTTTTTTGCTTGATAAAGCCCTTCTTCATAAGTTTGTACCCATGTTATTTCATCTCCCCAACCTACAAATATAATAAAATGATTAACTCTTGGCTAGGTAAGTAATTCATAAGAAACTACATTTTCTACCTTGGTCAGTAGCTGTACAGAAACAGATTTTTGTTCAAAGCTTACCAAGCATTGTAGATATATTAATCCTACATCTGCTAATAGGTGTATCAGAATATTAAAAAATAAACCAGCAAAACAAACAAAAACAATCAGAATACCTCAGCTGATTGACTACCCAGTTCAAGTCCTTTGACACACTCAATAGAACTCTTTCTGAATAGTCAGAGCTCCCTAAATTCTTTATATCTTCATATTTTCTCTTCATGTTGTCTGCTCTGTATTTCATTTTGATGCTGGGGCTTTAAGAGAAAGCTGGCTTAAAAAAATGAGAGAGAAAAATTAAATACAACAAATGAAATAAGATCAACTTTAATGTGACTGTTCTTAAAAGAGTTTTAAGCCTGACTCCTAAGTCAAGAATTTCAGTCTGTGGAGTTGCAAGTACTTCAGTTAATTAAATAATTTAATTAAAGAAAGACTGTTAGATAAAAATCTCCATCAAGATAAAATCCTAATGAGTCTTCAGCTTCACTGCTCATCCACTGAACTCAAAAAACAGATTGTCTTGTTGGTTCCATGCCTTCAGACCCCAAAGATGCCAGCCCCTGTGAAGTAGCTCCCCATCTTCTTGTCAGTGGGACATTTGATTGGGATGCTTTAGATCATCCCTTCTTTCAGGACTTATTTCATTTTTGTATCTGTCTGATTGTTGATGGGGTTCTAGCTTGTTTGACCAGTGGGTTGCCTGGCTGAAATCAACTGTTGACATAGGCAGTGGCAGAGAGGAGTCAGCTAGGTTCATTTTACAGCAGGATGAAGTATTCCCTCTCAATCTGTTATAATTGCAGGTTCTGAGTGGGAAAATTAATTCTGATCTAGTCAAGACAGGCAATAGATATCAGACTGGATATAAAGTTTCTCCACAGGTGCCACTTATGGAAAGTGATTTGACATTTCTCTTTGTTTTGTCCAGGGATTAGACAATATTGTATTGTATATGCAATGGGTTTCATATGGAAAAGCACTTATCCTTGTTTTTGCTATTTTATGAAGCCTTTTGACTTCCCTGTTATTATATATATATATATCATATGGAATAATGTCAAACTTCACTAAAACTACACTTCCTACAACTGATCTGTTTCAGTGCTTCTGTTTGCTACCTAAATGCCCCTCAAGTAACTGGCCTCAGATAGGGCTTTTGTGAATGCAGGGCTTTGTCAAGACTTCATTTGGGAGGAACTCAGAGGTGAGCCATGGAGTCTGTATGCTTTGCACAACTTGCAGGGGAGTTCAGGAAAACAGCTGGAGATATTTTGAGGTGATTAGGTCTGAAAAGAGAGGGAAGGCTGAGAAGAAGGAAAGAGCTATTTTTCTATACAATTTTCTTGTTCAGACATAAAAATGTTAGAATACAGTCTTCCTTTAACATCCAGGTGGAAAATTATGCACCACTACGGAAGTGTGAGTGTGACTATTTGAGAAGAGGGAAAAGAAAAAGAAATTAAGGACCATTCAGTAAATAAATATCCCTAATGGTTGAGACTGGTATTCTGTGGATAAAAATGGATCTGTAGAAAAAAATTTCATTTGAGACCGAAGTTATGAAATTGTGTTTCAGTAGCTATAAGTTACCATCTCAAGCTAACAGGTGTGTGAAAAAATATTTTTCACTGAGAGTTCTTCAAGAGCAGCTAAGTTCCAGAGAATCAATTTGAGTTATTTGATTCTAACAGATCACTGTGACTGACATAAATTAGAAAGATTATCTGAAGCCCTCAGCCATATTCTTAAGAACAAACTGATGGAGTGAAATGAGAGGGAGGAAAAAGATGCACTACTTAATGTGTGACTAAATGCTGAAGAATCACGCCTCAGTAAGCACATATATGCTTTCAGTAACATACATGGTAAGATAAGGGGGTAACTACGTAAAATACCTCTTGATAATGTCTGAGGTGCTTTTCTTTCCTTTTTGATTGCCATAGCAAGGTTGGATGAGACTGCAATTAGCAGGAGAGACAAAGCCAATGTTGAATGGAGCATTATTTTTCTAAAAAGTTCCTTTTCAGTGCAACAAGGAAACTGGAAAACAAAGCAACAGCTTTAGTTATATGGATTCATTACCTAGTGTAGTGTAAATCAGCTTGTCAGTGACATTCTAATGGTCTATGCTATGGACAGTTTGGGTAGTTTATATAAAAAAATTTGTTGATTTTTTTTTTATAGCAGTAAAAATAGATAATCTTATTATGCAGCACTGCTTAGAGCAATCAAACTTCAGAGACAAGAGAGTTCACTTTACTCTATGATCAGGGGAACAAAATTTCTACTTTTGGTCATCCACCATTTCATCCTCATGAACCACTACAATATTTTAATACGGGATCATGAAAATTTCAGGACAGTGCTACTATTTTTTTGCCCTTTTATTTTTAATTACTGTAAACCATAACAGCATGGGTTTATTTTACATATAGTAGGTTTTTTGGTCTAAAAATGTCCTGTGATAAAGCCCTTAAGAAAATTATTTTTATTTTAAATTGCTAGCAAAAATTGATAGCTTAATTTTGTGAACTAGAATGTTAAAATAGTGAGATAAATTTCAAACAAATGCTCTGATTTCCAAATGTTTCTTACAGTGAAAACTCAAACATTTTTTCTCTTCTTTATGGCTTTTAAAAATTGATTTCTAGCTCAAATCCTGCTTAAAAAAACCAACCCACCCATGTCCCAGTCTGCTTTTGTGTTCTAAAGGCGTTTACTTTTCTTCCTGATAAAAAGCATTCTAAGAAGTTCAGTAACTTCTGTTCTTGATGAAAGTCAGAGAACAAAAGTTAACAATTGAGGAAAGATAATGCAAAGCCAAATACATCCAATTTTTGCCCAGTACAATAATATTCAGACAATTAAAACTCCAGTTTTCAGATGATTTGCACTGAATTTGAAAATGTAACGCACAAAGCCCAGGATATCACTCAGCCAGCTTGCTGATTCTCTGGAGATTCATTTTTCAGAGACTGAGCTATAGGAGTTACCAAGATGACCTATGGAGAAAGGCCTTTGACTTAAACACACAAAAATTCAAATCTTCCTCCAAAGCACGTTAGCCTGTATTTATGACAAATTTTTCACATTGAATTTAGAAGTGACATCCAGTGTGCAATTATAGCCTTAAGTGCTGGCGAAAGTGAATTCATGCTTCGTATGGCAGAGGCATGAAAAGTGCAGTAGATTTTATCTTTGCTTTAGTGAAATTCTTAACACTACTAAAATCACTGTTAGCTGTTTAATTTCTGATGAACAAATTCAAAGGCTGCTTTCAATAACTCAGCAAAAGATAAGTATTCTGTTCAAATAACTGGAGAAAAAAAATGCACTTTAAAAAGCAGAAAAAATGAAGTACCACCATATTGCTGCAATTCTGTATTTCTGAAGAATTTTCTTTGGGTTATAATAAATTCATTAATTATAATACTTTTGCTCCTCAGTTTGGATCATCATCGTTCTCTTTCCCCCCACCTTACATCACAGCTCTAGAGCTGTTCTTTGTTTCACATAATTTCCTCCTTAGGCTTGATCATCTTATCTGTTGTTGACTGAGTTTAGAAAGTATCTCCTTCGGGCTTTGTAAATCTGCACATTAATATGATGTTTGGAGATGACAGAATTCTAATAAAGAGATGTCAGTTCCCAGTGTTTCATAAGGAGAGACTATTACTTTTAGGTAAGCTTGGAAACTGAGAAATTTTTGAGAATAGGAATTCCATTCAAATTTCCCCCATGTTGCTGCAAACTACTAACTTCAGTCAGCAAAATCAGATCATGGTCCCCCACTACTTTACTTCTGATAAATCAATTTTTATAGCAGCTCTCTGTGAAGCTTAGTGACTATTCTTAGCTTTAGTTTACCTGTCCAATGTTAATAATAAAATACAGCATTTATATCGTATCAAAACTCCATTTAAGCATTAATAGTTATGGCTTTGAAATCACACCAAATATGTCACTAAATCAGTATGGAATGAGTGAATCAGTTCTGTCTTCTGTGGTATATTAATAAAAAATCAAAGTGCAAATCTCTTCAAGTCACACAGTTATTAAACTGAAGCTTAAACAATTGATTATCATCATATTGAAAACCCACAGAGTTTTGGAGAGATAATTTACAGAGATGCAACTGAATGAAATTCAGTATTCTAAATTTTTGATGTTATGTTCTCCAATGATAGTTGATTGAGTAAAGAAAAAAAATACAGCCAGCACCATAAATGTTGCCTTTATCAGAACAAACATTCTAACTAATGTCTTAGCAGTTATCATTTGTCTGTTTTATATTACTTGCTAGATGTTTATCAAACAAAACTCATTTCTGTATTAAAGTTGAGAATAAGAAATGTTTTCTCACCAGCAGTGGTTAGTTCTCTTGATGGAAAGTCTTTTTTCTGAAATTAGGTAAAAGTCAGCGTGGTTTACACACCTGAACTACCTGAACTACCCAGGTCTCTCTGTAACAACAGCAACCTGGGAAAAATGAGAGAGATCTTTTAGGTGGAGACCAAGTTAATGCATTTGCACCCTCCCCCTTCCTTTTCTGCGATCCCTCCAACTATCACTCTTGTGGTTCCCATCTGAATCCTTGGATTTCTCTTCATCTTGGCTTGTATCAGGTGTCTTGTATGAGGATTGAAAAGAAATAGTGGCTTATGTGTGTCTGTTGCTTCCCCCCTTAGACAGTTTGTGTCTGGCTTACGCCCAATGAAAAAAGAAACCACCAATGAAAGGTGGAACTGTAGGGGCTTTTGTTTCCAGTGAATGGCTGGGTTCACTGGTGCCTGAAGATAGGTATGAAGCTAATAGGAAGACACAAGGGTTACTTTGTGTAGAGGAATGTAATTAACAAATAAAAGTAAATTATTTTTGAGGGAGAAATAAAATACTTTATTTAAAGGGTATGGTTTAGTTGTTGTTTTTGCTTTAAAAATGGTTTCATACTTTGGAAGTGATGCTTGATACAATTTTGACCTATCTTGATAAATATGGAAAAACCCTTTAATTCATTCTCTTTGCACAGAGAAGGAATTACCTGAATCACTTTTCTCCTCTTCCTTGGATAACCTTTGTGCAGTTTATAGGGACTGTAACTTTAAAGTTTTTCCTCCTTCTTTTCACGTGAAGCCAGCCTTCTTTTGTTCAACTTGGAAGCTTTAATCTATTGATGTTTGTTGTCACTTACACACGTGATTATTTATGTGCACTTCTTGTGTTATATTTTTCTATTCAAAAAACCTTTTCAGCCAGGCCTCTGAAATTTGAGCACAAAACGTTACCTTTTCAGATGATATCTGTGATTCTCTCCTTTCTTCCTCATAAAGATTTGCTGCTACAAAAGATCAGCTTTTTGTATCCAAACAGGCAAAATGTGACCTTTTATATTTTTGGTGCTAAATTATAATTCCATTTTTTGATAGAAAATTCAAACTAATGCTTCCAGTTAACTGGAAGCTAGGCAAAATGCAAGAACTCTGCTTTGTGGGCACAAATACAGACAGTGCTGGCCTCACTTAATGTGATAATCATGTCAGATCTGTTAACTGGGGGAAATTTGTCCATTCCTTTAGCTGAATAGAAATCTGAATTTGTTTAGTGCTTTGTATGAGAATTCATAGTACGAGAATAAAAGATAAAAGAGGCAATTAAGCACCCAAGGAAATTTCTATGAAAAAGAGATGCCCCGGTGACAATCTTCACACTGTTTGTTTTGTCATAGGTTATAGCTTCTACTCACAAGGGTAGGTGTGGAATCTTGGGAATTACAGCAGACTCAGAAGAGGTAGTTCATAAGTAAAAGAAAGTATATCCAATCCATTTGAGAAATAACATTTTCTGTTTTGATGGTTTAAAATGTCCTCTCTGAGTGCCTGCAGAATTGAAACCTCCTGTCTGGTGCTCTAGTATCTTTGGGTTCCATGGAGATGGATTTCTTCCCGGGCTCCAGGGCAGGTATGAAAAGGATGATGTGGTGATGCACACCGCTGCTGCAGTAATGAAAGAGAGTATTCAGGCTCTTTAAAAATCTGTTTTCTCTTTCAGCTTCTATGATTTAGACACTATTATGGGTCTACCAGTTAAGAAACCCTAAATTTGAAAATTTTCTTTAAAATGAAAATGCAGTTTGATCACATTAAGCCCTGACTGCCTTTCTTGAGCACATGAAAACAAATGGTTTGACCCTTTGTTTTGTAAACCAGGCAGTGTCAGCTTTCTCCATTATGACAGAAAGACAAAAGGTTCCAGGGCTAAAAAGAGAAGCAAAAGTGCTCAAACGTCACTGAAGGAAGAAAGAAAAGAGAATGAAGGAAAAAGGCTGTGACAAATTGCTCAAAGATTCTCTTCCCTGTTCTCCCAGTGAGTTGATTCTTTAAGGTCCTAATATCAATTTTGATAGTGCTGTTGCTTTTTATGATTGAAAAAAAACCATCCTGAAAGTTTGGAGTGAAGTGCCCAGCCCTGATTGCATGAATCCTGGAACATTTAATTATTATAGTGCTTTTTTAGGATGTGATATTATAATATATTTGTTCACATATTCCCTTTCAAACCACTTGACCCCTTCAGATGAAGTACAGACCTGAGCACTGTCTAACAAATGATGTTGCCAAGCTTGGCAGTGTAACACAGCTAAATCTGCAGGGCCAGGGACAAATCCTAATTGGAAAGCTGTCCAATACTTCTGCAGTTTGGAATAGCATGTCTGTAAATATAAATGTAGTTCTTAAATGAAATGCCCATTCAGGAGAGTGTGAATAGGCAGCCTAAAATAATAATCATTGAAAAAAGTAGGATTAATTAGTGTGAGTCCTTGGATATGTCTTACCTAAAGATGGTAGCTCCAGCCAGTGCTGGCTGGCAGTGAGGCTGAGCACTGTGGGCTGATACGGAATGTTAAACATGAGCAGTTGATCTGCTTCTGCAGAAAGGAAAGCTGCAGAAAGGAAAGATGAAGGTCTTACACTGTTCAATTCTAGCATAGCTCTTACATGTGT